GGTTAGGAAGGGATACAATGGGTTGGGATAGGTTGAGCAAGAGATCGTCTGCGAACATATGAAGTTTATAGTCAGTATGTCCTTTGACAATACCGTGGATATTGGGATTAGTTTGGATTAGGTGTGCTAAGGGTTCAAGGGCCAGGAGGAAAAGGAACGGTGAGAGAGGGCATCCCTGACGGGTGCCAGCCAGGATAGGGAAGGCTGGTGACAGGTAGCTAAGGTAGCGGACAGAAGCTGTTGGGGTGCTATATTGGGTTTGGATCGAGAGGAGGAAGTAATTCGGGAAACCCCATTTGTGGAGGATGTAGAAGAGGTAGTCCCAGGAAATGGAGTCGAATGCCTTTTGGAGGTCTAATGAAAAGGAGCATACCGGGGGTATTAGTACAGTGCATGTGGTGCATGAGGTGGATAATTTTCCGCGTATTGTTTGACGCTTGCCTGTAGGGGACGAAACCCACTTGGTCTCGGTGTATTAAGTCAGGTAGAATTGTGTTCATACGATTGGCCAGTATCTTAGCTAGTAGTTTGACGTCAATATTCAGTAGGGAAATGGGTCTGTAATTGTGGGGGTCAAGGGCGTATTTATCAGGCTTGGGGATTATTACAATGTGGGCCAATAGGGAGGACGGGTGGAGGGTATTGTGGGCTTTTAGAGAGTTGAACATGGCTGCCAGGTGGGGGGCTAAAGTGTCTGAATATTTCTTATAGTATAGTACCAAAAAACCCATCCGGGCCAGGTGTTTTGGAGGCTTTGAGGGACTTGATGGCCAGGAGTACTTCCTCAGGAGTAATGTCCTGGGCCATAAGGGTGCTCATGTTCTCCGTGAGTGAGGGCAAATCTACCCCAGTAAACAGTGAATCAGCCCGGCGGGTTTGGAAGGTGGAGTGCTTGCCGTACAGTTCAGAAAGGATGGAGGTGAAGTGGTTGAGGATGGTGGATGGGTTTGCCGTAGTGGCGCCATTGGGGAGTCGGAGTCTGACCGGGGGCCTGGCCTTTGGCTTAGAATTGAGCATGTTGGCCAGTAGGGGGCCTGGTTTGTTAGCACACGCATAAAACGTGTGTTTGGTCCAGCGGAGCTGTTTTTCCGCCAAGTCGTTCAATAGGAGGTTCAGTTCCAACCGAACTGAATCAATCCTTTTCCGTAGGGGAATTGAGGGGGCCAGGTTCCAGTCAAACTCAAGTCCCTCCAACGTGGATGAAAGATCCGAACCCTTTTGTTGAGTTCTCTCTTTTGTCGGGAGGCCAGACTGATGAACTCGCCCCGCATGGTCGCTTTATGGGCTTCCCAGATAGTGATCGGGGAGGTGACTGACAGTGCGTTTTCCTCAAAAAAGCAGGAGAGGCACAGTTGTACGTGTTGAGCAGTGTCGACAAAAGAGAGAAGGGAGTCATTTACTCTCCAGCTAAATTGAGAGGAGGCAGGAAATAGGGATTTACAGGTGAGGGATACAGGGGAGTGGTCTGACCAGGAGGCGGAGAGAATGCGGGCGTCCAGGACAGAGGGGAGAAAATTGGGCATTACAAAAATGTGGTCTTTGTGGAACTCCCCATTTTCAAGTCAGTGAATGGAAGAATCCCCTCTCCCAGGCCCAGCATGTGCATCAGTTGGAGGGAGAACACCCCCTCCCAGGGCACCGATGGTCAGTGAATTAATGCATTAAAGTAATTAAAGTAGTGTACATTATGTGTGTTGGCACACTATGGTTGTTGGTTATGTGTTTAGATAAAGCACTGAAATCTTGAGGAATGCTGAATTAAATTTTACTTGTGTAGCGCTCACCCCCGAAGCAGCCGCCAGAATAACCCGGGAACGTCTGTCCTCAAGCTAGGATTCACCGGCCAGACAAGATCCAAAGCACACCAACAAGTTTTGTTAGAATTTTACTAGACAGATAACCTCCTGAAATTTGTCAACAAATATGTAAAACACAGTGGCAAGGAGAGACAGCATTAAATAGCATACCTTGGTATCCAGACATTCAGTAGCTGCGTCTATCTATTAACTGAAATATACAATACTAAGCTATCTAAATGGTTATCTCTGACTAGACCTGATTGATAATGTCTCAGTGCCAAATATTTCCCAACTTTCTCTACTACTGGCCAATAGCAATAGTCTAGGCCAGCCATCGTTGGGGTCCATGCTGTGTTGCTGGGTGGTGGTGGGGGAACAGCGATGTTTCTCCCATGTGAAGCCCCAAGCAGCCTTGATGTGTCTTCTCTGTCAATACTCTGCTAAATTACATGAGCAGCCAATGGCAGTGCTGCACTCCCCCTCTTAGCCAATAGCAACTGGGGTGGGCTGAGGAAGATACAAGTGGTTGCCGAGTGCTGAGGAGCCCATACAGCAGGGAGGCCACTGGACACATTTTTTAGTCCCGTGGGGGCCGCTTCTATGTAAGGTACCAGTGTTAATGTCTGTACATGTTACAAGCGGCAACTGTCACCCATTCAAATTAATGATTGGGTGACAGCTGCTGCATGTAAATGCCTGCACACCGCATGTAATCATATGTGAAAGGATTACAAGCAGTTAGGAATCTGTCACTATCCCTGGTTACACTATTGCGTATCCAGAGATAGTGATTGTTTTTGTAACTGCATGTAATCATATCACATACAATTACATGCGGTATGCAGGCGTGTACATGCAGCTACTGTCGCCCGATCATTAACTTGAATGGGTAACAGTTGCTGCATGTAAACGCCAGATTAGGGGTTCCTGCTGCAGGAAAACGCAAGTTTGTGACACAGGAATCCCTAATCGCACCTGAAATATAGGTGTGAATGGAGCCTAATATACACACAGAAAAATACAACCCCCCCACACGCTAATACACCCCCCTGCACAAATAAAATAATACACTCCTCCCCACACACATAATACACTTC